CCCCAAAACCCCAAAACCCCAAAACCCCTTTTCTTTTTAAGTTATTGAAGCGATAAAACGTGTGGAGAGTAATACCTTCTCACTCCTCCTTGTCCATACGTTTCCTTCACAGCCCACTATTCCTCCGCTTCTACTTTTAAGCCCTAATCTGCCTACGTAAAAGCACCTGTGCAGTGTCAAAATAGCCTATGCTACTTTTTAAGGACAAGTTTAGTTATTTGTTAAGGTGAGCCTTCCGTTTGTGGCACAGGAAGGGATCTGATTCTGTGTTCCAGAGCAGGTTGAACACTGCAGAGTAGTGTTTACGCTTATCTTTGAGTCTACCTTGAAGGGGATTATCTGTAGTCTTACTAGAAGGGTTGGTACGCTTCTGTACTGACTTAGACTTCTTTGGAGGAATCATGAGGTTTAGTTCAGGAAGTTGGGATAGTCTAGGCGAACTTGGAGGGATTTCAGTGGGGATTTTTGAGGGGTTAAGGCTCTATGGTGGGTGAGGGATGGATACAGGTGATTTTTGGAGATTGGGTTGGGCGGTGGAGGGGTTTTGGCTGTGCTGGTTTTTTGAGATTTTTACTAGGTTATTTTACTATGGGGTTATAGGAGGGGGTTACAGGTTATTAGTTTGAGCTGGTTGGTGTTAGTGGGGTTTAGGTTATCGGTCCATGACTTTTTGTATTTTTGTTCTAGTTTTGATAGGATTTTAGGGGTTACTTATGTCTGTGTATTTTGAATTTATGTTATTTGTACTTTCTTTGAAGCTCTTTAGAAGTGGATTTCTATATATTATGAGTCAAAAGTACAGTTTTAGAGTGAAACGAGGACTGAAGAGCACTTTCTCTTGAATTATTGTCGATCAAAATTGATTCTTCATGGCTTTCTAGTTTTGATAATGTATACGTAGGTTCACTAAATTTAAGATAGCTAAATACATAATCGGATCCAAAACTCGGACTGAGGCTTGGTTGCTGGAAAGATAATCTCTTTGTATTGGAACGGTAGGAGACAAAATACGGTCTACAGTTAAAGTTGAAGGTTACTTCTGTTTCTTTCATGAGTTGTTTCATCTTTATACAATTTTACAGCATTATTCTTAATTTTTCTAAAACTTTATCAATTTTGTTATTACTCATAAATTTCTGAGGCTCTGGGCTTATTCATCTTGGAGAAATTTCGCCTAATACGATTCTTATTTTAATATTTGATTCTGTATGACTTGGAACTTTCTTGAATGACTCTTACAACATCTAGCATCTTTTTATTAGGTTTTAACTTACTTTTAGGCTTAGCTGAATCATAGCTGGCGAGTGAGGATGCATTTCTTTTTGAATGTAGATCTACAAAATCATTATTTTAACCAAGTACTTCCTAGGTAGGCTTCTTTAAGGCCTAAAAAGTACTCCATATCTTTCTTCTCAGATTCGTTTGAGGAGATTTCGAGGTCAAGGTTCTTTGACTGAGAGATAAAGCTTTTATTTTGATATCGATTTCCCTGCTAATGTGAAGGATAATTTTTGCTTATTTATTCTTTCTGTAGTCTATGTCTATAAAGAATGTTAGAAATAATTTCTAACCATATTGTAATCGTCAATGCAAACTTTAAAACTAAGAGGTTTTTATAAAATTCTACCAAAAGAGTTTGTAATAAATTATCACTATTTGGTCTCTCCAAAATATCTGTATAAACCCAGTTTAGAAGTTCGCCTTTGGTGCAAATTAAAGTCAAAAATTTTGACAAGGATTATTAGAAGACAATTGAGCAAACAATTAATAAATTCTGAACCTGAAAAACATGATAAAATTTCATAGGCGATTTAGGTTTACCGTTTTCTCGAACTTTATTCTCAATGTATTCATTAAGAGTTTTCTTATTTCTAAACCTTCCTGTATTTCTACTTATCCTATGACTAGCAGTCAAATGTTCAGCTTCAGACCTATCTGTGGTTTTATAAAGGGGTTTTGGGGCGTTTTTAGAGTTCCTAGATGACCGATAGTATGTTAATGAGTCTCTTCCTAGTTGCATGTTGAGATTATATCAATATTATTACTAATATAGGGGTTTTGGGGTTTTGGGGTTTTGGGGTTTTGGGG